TAATATGCAGATTTAATTGGGGCCTTGCTGTGAGGAAGAAATCAGAGAGAGTATTGAAGTTGCTTGAAAAGAGGCCTCTCCTCAAGGAAGAAAGAGAGCAAGCCAAAAAGCTAACAAGAGAGATTGAAGGGTTTGGTAGCTTTCCTGGAAGATCAGCCTCCCTACTTGAAGACTCGTTGACTACGTATGGAAGGAGCCATTCCCAGTTCAATGAGCATGGAAATGAGGGGAATCCACCTGAAAAAAATGGTTTCAATCAGCCTCGAGTAATCTTTCTAGATCATGACGGTAAGGCTGACAAACCCAGAACTGTAAAGAGGTTTCTGAAAGAAAATAAGGCACAAAAAAATGAGACAAGGAAAGAAGATTGGCTTGGTTAGAGCAATAATACGAGGGAGAAAATATGCTCTTGAATGAAAATAGCAGTGGGGTGCTTATAGAAGAGGAACATCATCTTTTTAATGATACTGAGGAACATAATAAAGTGTCTTTATTGGCTGCTTCAAAAGAGGATTAAGAACAGATTAATCTGTTTTCTGTATTTTAGTTACAGGTCCTACACACGCAATTTGCAGGTTGTATATCATAAACAGAACATGTTAGCTTGTCTAAAATGTTAACCGTTAGTTATCTGAGATCTCAATTTTTGAAAATCGGTATGTTGTAGAATGCAAGAATAAGAGGTATCAAAATTGTTATTGTACATTTCCCTTTTTTCTATTCTTGACAGTTTGTGCTGTAATTATGAGATGCTTCTAGCAAAGAGGGAAAGGGAGGGAGGAGGGGTGGTAGTTTAAGAATATGCTCGTAGAGGTTGAAGATTATGAAGTTGATAGCTTCATAACCATGCATTATAGTTGCACATTTCGGAAAACCTCTCCATTCTAACAGACTTGCAGTATCAAACAAATAACAATGCATGAGCATTTTAAATGACAAATAATACGAAATGAGAATAAAATATTTAAATGGATTAAAACTATGGAATAGAGTAAATTCTACAGGCGGTATATAGGCTGAAAACATTTCTTTAATCATACATTAAATCAACAACCATTTCTTTGCTCATTGTGAAATGAGTAAGCATTAGTTTGCTCATTTTTCAAATGAGCAAATAATTAGCTACTCATTTGAAAAATAAGGAAACATTTCTTTGCTCATTTGACAAATGAGCAAATAACTTGGTCAGTTGGCAAATGAACAATTATATACTAACTCTGTTTGGCAAATGAACAATTAATTTTTTGCTCATTTAAAAAATGAGCAAATAGTTAGTTGCTCATTTTTCAAATGAGCAAATAGTTAATTAGCAATTTAACAAATGACCAACAACTTAGTTAATAAGATAGAAAATGATATCCATTACATTGACATAGCAAAAGTTAATACTTAGAAAATCCTAACAACATCATAAAAACATTTGATCAACTAAGAACATTTGTCACATTTGTCCCATTAAGAACATCATAAAACTAACACTTCTATTGTTCTATACAAATCCTAAGAACATCATAAAAATTGATCAACTTCAGTCTTCAATTCTCTCCGTTGAATGCTCTTGGATTGCTGCCCCTAGCTTTCTTCAGTATCACTTGCTTCCTCAACCTTTTTTTTTTCTTTTAGACAATTTGTTTAACAGGTTTAACAATATTTACTTCACTTGAAATAATTGAGAAGGTATACTTCAAACAAAGTTTTTCAATGATTATGGCCTACAAAGAGAAAAAATGAAGCAATAATTCAAGGTAAGTATAGGGTAAGTAATGGCTTCATGCATGAATATCAACAAGCTGCTCACAAATTTTAACCTAAATTGCAATTAAAATAAAAAATGGATAAAAGTGCAGATGTCCCATTCCAGAAGAAGCAAATTATAAACTCAACAATTAGAATTTTTCTGGTTAGACAAGTCAGGTTCTACTGCCTACTCTACCGTCCTCCCTGGTCTGCCACTATCCTGTATAATCTTCTTCACTTCGTTCCTTAATCTTTTGGTGATGACTTATGGTGTATCTCATTCGAGATAAAATATTAAGATTCAGATATTTAGTCTTCTTTCAGAATATTCAATATTAGCTTCATAAGATTTAATAACTAAAGAGAGAGATATCGAAGAAAACTCATATCCACTAACTTCTGATTAGTTTCTAAACCCTAATTTCTATCTTACCTAAGGTTGTTTTGCAATTATTATGACAACGAGCTATCACTGATTAAGTGTGTTCGTTTACAAATATACAACAATTTGAAGAGAGTAGAGTACTCAAAGCTCAGTAAAGAATGCACATAAAACAGGTGCCTACCAACAGGATTTGTAGCAATTAACTGCTCTCCAACACATTTAATACTCATATGAGAGGAACATAGCCTGTAAGTTGCAACAACAAGCATGAAATGTGAAAGACTTACATTATTTTTCTTTAAACTTGAATTCCACTTTTGCAAACCCATATATGTTTCCATATGCCTCATCATAGCAACACCACAATGCAAATGATCATCATCTTAAGACTTCCAGGGTAAATCAATCAGTACAGACTCCATAGACTTGATCTGTTTTGACAAAAAAACACTTTGTATACTTCCTTCACCATCCATTAAATATGAAAATGCACTTTTCTGAAAATGAACAAATAAGTTAAAATAAGAACAAAAACAGGTAGAACAAATATAGTCAAAACAAGTAGAACAAGATCAAGATAAACAACTAAACTCTAAACATTTTTCTAAAATAATCTAACAAAATCTTGAGCCATTACTGCCACCTACCCACACAAACCTACCCACACATTACACAATTCTGATTTCAGAAACTAATTTCAGAATCTGATTTCAAATTCTATTACAGGTTGTGAGTGTGTGTATTTTTGTGTATGTGTATGTGTATGTGTATGTGTATGTGTATGTGTATGTGTGCTTGTGTGTGTGTGTGTGCGTATGTGTATGTGTGAGAGAGAGAGTGTGTGTGTGTGTGTGTGCATGTGTATGTGTGTGTATTTTCTTGTTATGGGAGAAAGGAGAAATTCAGAGGAGAATCCTGAAAGGGTTAGGGTGTCACCGTCACTGGCTCCGCAAGGATATGGAATTTTATTCAGGGATCTAATGAGAGGAGACATGAATAAGGAATCTGGTAACAACATGACAGGCATCAATGGGGATATTGATGATGAAGTGATTTATGATGATGAAGAAGTGCCAAAAGACATACAAGATTTTTAAGAAATTTCTTATTTTCTTTAGGACCTTCACTGTAATCAATAACCTCAATTTTACCACGCTCTGTGGCGGTGTTAAAACATACCAGATAATAATGATCTTTTTCAAACACTAGGAAAAAGAAAAGCTCAATATCTTTCTTTGGGATGATTGTTTTGCTGAATTCCAATTACACAACCTCACAAAACATTTTATTCCTTTCTTGAGCACGGTCACTTTCGTATTGAAAAAGGCAATCCTAAAAAAATACATAAAGAAAAATACATAAGTAAGATGAATATAAATGAAAAGAGTAAATAAGAAATGAGCAAAGTGAATATGAAATGAGAAAAGTCATATAAAATGAGTAAATTGAATTTTTTTTGACAAATGAGCAATGTATGTTTTGCTCATTTGACAAATGAGCAAAAAATTAACTGCTCATTTGGAAAATAAGCAAAAAATTAATTGCTCATTTGACAAATGAGCAAAAAATTAATTGCTCATTTGACAAATAAGCAAACGCAAGACAATACACTACAAAGTGCAAACAAACAACCATGACATGATTATGCCTTGAAGATAACTATAATAGGCAAATTTATTAAATTAGTTTTGTATTTCAAATACTTTATCAAAAGATTTTATGTTATTTAGTATCCAATAAGAGACTTAAATTAGTTCAGTATTTATTTTTTGCTCATTTGTCAAATGAGCAAGAATAATTTGACAAATGAGCATTGAATAGTTTGCTCATTTGAGAAATGAGCAAAGAACTAATAATAGTTTTTGCAAATACAAAACAACATTTACATTCAAATATAAAAAATTATATGAAATGAGCAAAGTGAACATGAATAAAATAAAACAAAACAAAATGAACGAGTTGAACTTACAATTGCATTAAAACTGAAAAAGAAACGTCCACTAGAATTGATATCTCTATATTGCTCATTATAATTCAGAACAGTAGACCATGCATTAATGATATAGCCATGAATTTTACTTTGAGTTTTTATCATTTCAAGTTGAAATAGCATTACTTCACTATCAGGCTCACCCTCGCATAAAAACCCTGCATCACTACATATAAGATTTAGGGAAGTTAAAATAGTTTCAATCGTAGATATGTAAAGTGAGAATATAGAGCTAGACTTGTTTTAAGAAAGAAAAATAAGGTCAGTTGCCAATTTCCAGAACTGAAAAATTGAATAAATACTTACAAACGATTTTTCTTCTCATGAAAAAATAAATCCATAACACCTTTTTGAACTGTTGTTAATGGTGTATAAATGTTGATAATCTGAGACTTAAAAGGAGATCTTATCTGCAACGATGGTTGCACTTTATGCTTCTTCTTTGACATAAAACTCTCATTTTCAACATCTCCTTTTCTCTTAAGCTCAATTGGATCTTCTTGAGCATTCATAGCATCAGCAACAGCAGCAACATCTGATTTAGAAGCACTAACTTGTGCACTAACAGGAGAAAGTACAGGTTCCTCAGTAGGTGCAATGCTAGGGGACTTCTCCTGAGAATCAGTTTCTTGAGAAGAGATTCCTAAGCTGAATGAAGGAGTTCCACATCCTTTGGCAACTGAACTTCTTAAACTATATCTGATAATTCACTCTCCAAGTCTTTTAAACACATGTTAAGCAGCCCTAGGCTGTATGATAACGGATGGAGCTTCAACATCAGGTATACCACTTGCTATGTGAACACATTCAGCAGCAATCTTAGTAACATCAATTGGTTCTGATTCAATCTTATGATCAACCCTAACATGATTGTAGATTCAACATGCTTGTCATTGCCTGAAATCTTTGAAAACCTATCCCAAGCTTCAATTACAGCTGGATCTTGCCAATACTGTTCATCTTGGCTAAATGAGAGAGGAATATCTTCAGTCAAAGCTTTAGAGCTCATCTTCTACTCATCACAAATGGTCATTTCATCTTCCTTCAGCTTTTGAATCTTCTCATTGTTTGGAAAATACTTGACAGCAGTTTCATGTTTTTGACTGAAATCCATGTATGCCAAGACTAGATTTGTAGATGTTGTTGCAAGCTCCATAAGGCATTTCTGTAAAAAAAAAAAAATACATAATAAGATGAATATAAATGAAAAGAGTAAATATGAAAAGAGCAAAGTGAATATGAAATGAGCAAAGTGGATGTGAAATGAGCAAAGTCATATAAAAATGAGCAAATTAATATAAGTTTCCAGAAAAGTCATATAAATACCTTCTTTGGATCTTGTTCAATTTCTTCATTTTTTGTATGAATTGGATCAGATTGTTCCTAAAACAAAGCAAAAACGAAAAAAAAAAGAAAAGAAAAGAAAGTTAGAAAAAGTTGAAAGCAAATATCCTAATTACTTTCTCATTTGACAAATAAGCAAAGTGGATATGAAATAAGCAAAGTTATATAGAATTGAGTAAATTGAACTTTATTTGACAAATGAGCAAAAAATAACTCAAGAAAAGTATCAAGTCTATCAACTATTTAATACTAAGAAACTGAAAGGTTGTCGAACAAGTTAAGAAGAAAAACACAAAATTCATCCAAATCACACACAGTAAAATCAAGAAACACAAAATTCATCCAAATCACACACAATATCAAATGAGCAAAAAATAATTGCTCATTTAACAAATGAGCAAATATTTTTTTGCTGATTTAGGAGGTCCATTAATGTGCTATAAAGAGCACCATATAGCATCATTTTCCTAAAGGCAAGATTTGTTGCAATTCAATTCTACAAGCAATGCCAAAGACATAGAAAAACTAAGTATTGGTTACAAGTGAAATACCATTTTTGGTTGTTTGCTACCAGAAGGACCAACAAGCTTCTGATTTTTATCAAAAAATCCAAGCCTCCCCTTAAAAATTTCCAATTTCTCACGACTTGACAACATATTGGTTGTCCAACCTTTGAGAACTGGAGTTTCTCGTTTGGCTCTAACTTCCTCAATGACAAACTGATCAACATATAAAAGCTACAAACAAGTAAGATAGAAAAATTAGTACATTAAAATTAAACAAATAACAATTAATACATACAATAACTACAAACAAGTAAGAAAAATTAATTAGTAAATTAAAAATAAACAAATAAGTAAGAAATACTACATTTAAAAAAAAACAAAAATTATAGTAATACCATAAGAAACAGTAAGACCCAGGAAAAGAACGAGTTTGACGTTCTTCCCAGAAAAGCTTGGCCTTCATAAGTGAATCAAGGATATACTTGCACCAATTCAAGTCCTTTATTTTATCAACATCAGAAAGAAATGTGAGAATATCATAATTGATATTCACATTTTGTTTCCCTGATAAAAATATGAGAAAAACAAAAGAAAAATGAGCAAAAGGAAATTTAAATGAACAAAATATAATATAAATAAGCAAACAAAATTGAAAATGAGCAAACTGCTATAAAATTTAAAACCATGATGTTGACTCCCACCTTTTCCTGATGATATAATTAATTTTTAATATGAGTTGAAATTTTCTAACAAGTACGTTAATATGGAGTATGTACCAAATCCTATTCCAGATTTGTTCACCCATCTCATCATTGACTAACAACAATAATCCATCAAATTATACAAACTACTTAGATAGCCCAAAAGATAAATACATATATATAGATCTTAAACAGAGGAGTATTTCTACTTATTCTGAAAGTGTCAATAGTCTTTATCTGATGATGTATATTTTCAAGTAGCATTCACTCTAGATTGGATTAGTTTCTTGTTGGTGCAGTAACTAATTCTTGTTGTTGCTGCAGTAACTGATTCTATACATATTTGACCAACAACTTAGGCAATATAATTGCTATATATAGCACACAACTGCTAAGTGCTAACTATAACTAAAAATAAGCAAAATAAAAATAAGAAGTTTACCATCCATCAATGTAGACACGCATAGCACTACAAAGTTCCTTTTGAACATAAGACCAACTGAGTTATGCTCTTTCAGAAATTCTTTCAGCTCCCCTATTTTGATAGAGAGTGAGTTGTTTTTGAATTGCTTCTTCCATTGCTGAATCACTCTCTTATCTCTGGAAAAATTATTTTTGTCAATTTCTATGCCACCCATTGGCAGCCCGAGTACTTGATGCACATTCTCTTCAGTGATACAAAAAGGTTCAAAATCTGGAATGTTTAAAGAGCATATGTTAGCATCAAAGTGATGAACCAACCATAAACCCAACTGCAAAGGCAGTTGGGTCACCTTCAAGAACTCCATAGACCCGAATCCTATTGCTCTAATAGCTTTCAACTGATTTTTTAAACATTTTTCAATAACTTGAACTATGGATGAAGGGGACATCCAACTATGTAATGTCCCATAAACATGAGACTTCAAATCTTCCCCTTCGTTGCTGGATTTCGTCTCCTCCAGCTTAATCTTCTGTTTTTCTTTCAATCCTTTTTCAACCTTTTTCCCTTTACCCTTAGTACCAACTAATTTGATTCTAATCTGCTTCTTTTCACTGAGCTTCTCTTCTACCACTACAACCTCTGATGAACCAACATCAACAACAGGCCTTGCTGAACCAACATCGGCAGCAGGACCTGTCGAACCAACATCAGCAGCAGGCCCTACTGAACCAACATCAACAGCAGCACCTGATGAACCAACATCGGCAGCAACCTCCTTTTCAAAAGAGTTCCAACTCATACAAAACAATAAAATAAAAGTAAATAATTAGTTGGTAATTTTATACAAATGAGCAAAAACCATATATGCTCATTTGTCAAATGAACAATCAATTTTTTGCTCATTTACCAAATGAGCAAATAGTTGATTGCTCCTTTATCAAATGAGCAAACATTTATGTAATAATTCATTAAATCAACAAGCATTTAATAAGAAAACATAAAATGAGGAAATAAGAAAACACATACATTGTCCTTTCCAAATATACATCCGTATAATCTTTATCATTGTTAGGATCAGTAGCAACTGAAGAATCCATAGCACTGTTACAAAAAACCCGAAAAAAATGTAAGATAACTAAAACAAAGGATAAATCAAATTAAGAAGCAAATTTTTAAGAGAAATAAAGAGGGGGAAGGGGGGTTCACCACATTTCTAACAAGAAGCAAAGGATCCTAAATGCGAGAAAATAGTGTATATTACAAGATTCTAGGACATGATAGCAGTCCCTGTTTTCTTAAACTAGTAGCCTGAAAAATATGGACATAGTAGCGGTCCTACATTTATAAAATCCAACACAAGGTAGAATCTGTATTTGGTCTGCATGCAAACAAAAGAAAAGCCAAGTATAACATTAACTTAATCTACAATGTTGCATCAGGTAACATGTCCATCAGCATAATCCTACCAAGCCACCTACACTTATGGAAAAACAGAAACACCTACACATGTTAATGAGGAGGTTTTCCCATCTGAGGTGTTTAAAGCTAATCAGATTTATGTTGCATTAGTATTATTTTCAGATAATGTCTTATTACACTGTGAACATGGCAATTGCAAGGCTAGTTGAAGAAGCACCAAGGATTCAAATAATCAACACAATTTCAAGAGAATAATACACTGTGAACATGACTCTGTTGAACTGCTGTAGTTTACAAAGAAGCTCGAGCTTTGTGAGAACAGGTTACTAGCATAAGACTGCTCACTGGTGACTTAAACACACAGTTCATAGTTCATAGTTCTAACTAACCAAGAAGATGACAGTTAGGTCGAGCACTCAAGCTGCTAAAACAATGTATTACAAAGAACCACAACATAATCGCAACAAAATAGCAACAAAAACGCAACATATTCGCAACTAAATCGAGCAAAAATCGCAACAAAACCACAACATAATTTCTCAAATACACAACCAAAGCAAGGAAACTTGTAAAAACCTAAATTCAGGCAAAATAAAACTAAAAATAACTTGATAATTACTCAAAAAAACGAAAATAAAACTAAAATCAACAAAAAAAAAAACAAACTAAACCATAATCGACACAAAGTAACCTAAAATTAATGAGCTACAATCAGAATAAATTAAACAAAAAGTAAAACGAAAATAAACAACATAATCGCAACAAAATCAAGCAAAAATCGCAACAAAACCACAACATAATTTCGCAAATACAAAACCAAAGCAAGAACACTTAGTAAAACATAAATTCAGGCAAAATAAAACTAAAATTAACATGATAATTACTCAAGAAAACGAAAATAAAACTAAAACCAACAAAAAAAAAACAAACTAAAACATAATCGACACACTGCATGTTGAAATTAATGAGCTAAAATTAGAACAAATTAAACGAAAATAAACAATGAATGTAGCCTAAAATTAATTGAAAAACAGCAAATGTATAAACAATAAACTCACATTAACGAAAAATTGATGAAAATTGAAGAACTTGTGATGAAAAATCAGAGAGAAACAGAGTAGAAACTGTAGAACTTAAAGGAGGAGAGAGAAAATTGAGCAAAAAAGAAGACGGAGGAGAGAGAAAAAACGCAGTAAATAAATTTAAAATAAATTTGTTTTGTTTTACCGGGTTGTATTATGACCGTTGGATGTAATTGATCCAACAGTTGTAATATGTCCTCACATATAATAGGGTTCTCACATATGTAACATATTATATATATATATATATATATATATAAATAAATAAATAAATAAATAAATATAAAATCTTATCCAAAATCTAAAATAAGAATTGAGTTTAAATTATTTTTGGTGCCAAAATTCAAATATCATTTTGGCTCCAAAATTCAAATAGTAAAATAATTTACTAAAATAACCTTTTTAGAAAATAATAATGAATTAATTAATTAGAAAATACGGTGTATTACAGTAATTTCTTGGGTGTTACAAAGTGATATGTGGGAGCTTTGGTTGGATTTTAATTACCATTAAAGCAAAAAACGTCTTTAAGGTACTTTATGTTTAACTTGGCCAAGTGAATTTTTAAAGGATATTTGGAAACTCGAATTGAAATTATCTTGTTTAATTTTGGATTTTTTTTTATAAGGTACAATTATTTTTTTTAAAGAGAATTTTTCGTTTTTTTTTTTTTTTTTTTTTATTTTTTTTTTATGTTGAGGATGTCCTAATTTTTTTTTAAGGGGTATGTCCGAATTCATTTTTTTTAGCAAGGGGGGGGGGGGTGAAATTTTCCATTTACTTTTGGTCATTTTCAAAAATATTTGGTCTAAAGGGGAATTCAATATTATTTTTAATTTTTTCGTTTTGCAGGAAAGCAAAGGATTAAGGTATGAATAATGTGTTAAACGCTTTAAAAGCATGTTCTGAGATTGGGTACAAAAGAATTAGGCATATAAGTAGTTGTGTGTATAATCATCTGATAACCATGAGTATTTATAATAAATAAATAACTCCCTTAAAGCGTAAAACCAATTAGGAATAGGATTAGTTAATCAATTAATCATTTAATCAATCTACCAATAATCAAGCGACACGTGGACCCACACGCACGAACACATGCACAAGGAGACCACGAGCTTGCGTGCCAAGGCATCCCACCTTGCAGCCCTAGGCAGCGCCAAGGAAGCAATAAGGTGAGGTGCCTTACGTTGTACTCTCCAAGGCCTAGCGCTCTAGCCCCGCACAACAGCCAGCCTACGCACACTAGCGTTGCTACTAGATCACTACAAAATTAAGTTAATATAGCAACAACTAAAATTTGTTGCTATTCACCAAAAATCTGTTGCCAACTCTAGTTAGCAACTGTTGGAAACGAAAATTTGTTTTGCTAAAAGGCTTGTTGCCATGGGATTTTGGCTACCAATTGCAAAACAATTTTGTTGCAATATTACATTCATATAAATATAGTTTCCATGATGGTTGTTTTTCTTGGTGCATGCGTAGCCAACTTTGGTAACAGATTACCATTGGTTGTTGCTAAAAGTAGCAACAAACTATTAATGTTGGTTCCTAAAAATAGCAACAAATTATTAATGTTGGTTCCAAAAAATAGCTACAAATCATTAATATTGGTTGCTATCAATACTAGCACCCGATCCCTTGAACAATCCAAAACCTCACTCGGGTCAACTCAGCTTGGCTTTGCATTTAAGGCTCTTTGAATCCCCGGTCTCAAGAATCGCAGTTGGTAGGAGTCGAAACCATGACCTCGAAGTCACATGGTGAAACTCTTGCCAACTATACCAAGTACTATTTGTTTACTTCTATTCACATAATTAGTAATAAGTGAACAAAATATTAGAGACGAAATTGAAAATTCTGTCTCTAAATTAAATTAGGGACGAAATAAAAAATCCGTCTCTAAATTAGAGACGGGATTAAAATCTGTCTGTATTTGATGTCATTATAGCAACAAATAATAAGACGAGTGTCTCCAAATAATATAATACTTAATAGCTAAAAGTAGCCTACATATAAATTAACAACAAACTGTAACACAACTTGTTTCCAATGGCAATTATTTACAATTTGATGTCATTATAGCAACAAATAATAAGAAGAGTATCTACAATGGCAACAATTTAAAAATTCATAGCCTTTGTTTGTTTCTAACTCAATTGAAATAAAATATCAGTTGCCATAATTTGTTGCTATATGGCAACAAGACAAAAATATGATGCCATCAGTAACAAATAATAAGACAGTTTGTTTTAAACAACAACAAATTAAAAACACGTAGCCATTAATTATTAAAAAACTAAAGCATAAAAGGTCGCTTTTAATTAGGCAATGAAAAAAATTATTTTTGTTGCTCTTTAGCAACGTTTTAAAAATACATTGCCAAACTTAGTTGCTAAAAAGCTTTTATTTTTGTAGTGGGTCTCGCACTGCTGGTGAGTGTTTACGAGCTTGCCGCAAGCCAGCAGGCCTGGGTTTGGGCTGCACGTACGAGGCCTTAGCTGGGCCTTGCACCCAGCCTAGGCTCTCCTAGCCATGGTTGGGCCTTGAGCCCACACTTGTGGTGCGCTAGGCCTTTAGGCCTAGCTCGTTGCTTCGCTTGACCTTATTCTTCATCTAATGATCCATAAAATCTATTCGATGATATACACTTGGATTTGATGCTTCCAAGCCCAAGTACCAATGTATTGATCTAAACTATAATTATTAACGTATATGGGCCATTGGTCCAATCCGTCTTACGGTTTGATTTCGTGTTTAGGGTGTGACCCAATAGGTTCAGTCAAAAGCAAGTTGTGAGACTAATTATATTATTCTCACTTATCGAAAGTAGTATCTAGCTAGACATTTCGATCACTTGACTTCACTAATTAATTAACTTTGTAATTAACTGTACCGTCTATTGGAATAATACACTTGTTTGAAGGACACTACTCCGTCATTATTTTCTTGAATCAGGTTGATTATGTCAAAGAATTTTAATAAAGTCCAATATTTACTCAAGGCTTTTATATCATTTACAATTAAATTGCCATAAACAATTTTAGATTTAATTTCAAGAAACAAGACCAATCCCATTTTCAACACTTTCAACTTCAGTGTATTGTATTTATAGAACGTTGTGCCTCCTTCATAGCAGTGTCAAATCTAAAATATTTGTCGATGATCTAGAGAAAGCATACAAAACCATCATCAGAATAAGCAGTTTCACAAGAACACCAGCTGAATTGTTTTGGAAAGATGCCAAGGATAAAATTGAGAATGAATAAGGTATGTATACTGTAATGTCATTATCAATTGTTCTCAGAATTCTCATAACTGAAACCTTAAGGCCTCGTTTTCTTACTTCCTGATACGGAGCAATGGAAATAATAAGTGATACAATCCTAGCTTAGCATGCATGACATAAAATCGGTTTCTTAAACTAAGTACCTGATATATTACTAATGCACCCTTTTGAGTTCCATCCCCTCCAATTATGTACACCTAATCGCATAACATGGACAATGTTATATACTTGTATTCCATGATAAAACTGTCATACAATTACTACACGATAACTTGATAATACCTGATTAATTCCCCTGAATGTTGTTCACAATTTTAGAGGTGACAATGTGACATAACCACCTCTTAAAGTGCCAAGAATAGTTCCACTTCATTTGTGGATGCTGTCAACAGTATTTGGTATTAGCGGGAGTGTATTCCGAGCATGGAACCCTTTGTAGCCACACTTTACGTTCCAAAGTAAAACAAAATTTTGTCAATTCATCGTAAACATATTAGCTCACACCAAAATCCATCAAAGAATTATAATTGTTCTTGTCATATAGCATGAGTACTTACCTCAATTCCCAGGATATTTTTATCACCATATATTTAATTCAAGCCACAAACTAATTCCTTGATCACAATGTTAAGCTCGAGACATGGACCTCCGAACGTAGCAATACATGTTGTAACTTCATTCGGCTTAAAATACACCTAAATCATGATTCATGGAATAGGGTTAGTATCGACCATCAAATCTTATACCATAAAACATCCTATCAAACTTCAGAAAACCAAACAAATTAATTAAGTAATTACCTTTTGACAAGGACTTTGTCGTCGAAAATGTATACCCCTTGGACCATCTTTATGTTGAACAGCCCGTGAAATTAGAATACATACTCACCTACATATCAGTTTCCTAAAATCACAACTCTACATACATATATACAAGTTTGAGTTATCAAAATCCTTAGCTACTCCAAGTCTCCAACTCTTTCATTTGTCATTTGAAGTAATGCCAATCATTTACTAGACACGACAACCCAACCCAACCTAAGCCATACCCAATTTTGTCAATTTGTAACATTATACACATCCATCCTACTAAGTATATCATTAAACCACAAACATCATTGAAGCCATTCTATATAAAAACTAAGGACTAATCAAATATAGCCAACATGAGGTTAGGCAAAATTGAGGAAACTCACATGTGGAAACATCTCCACCCGCTGCGAAAACTACGTCACTTAATTAAGCTAGTTATGGATTGAATGAGGCCACCATACACAATGACTTTGATTATGTCCAACCAATAAACTTCAAGAGTAAGAGCTCTAAGTGAATTATGCTCTATAACATCAGGCATTTGCACAATCATTTGTCTTGCATCATTGTAGAAATTTGAGTCAAAGTTCTTAAATTAAAAAGTTCGTTTACTTTTCTAGGTGTTATTTTTCACTGTCAAATATTCTTTTCTTTTTTTTTATTTTTTTTTTTTTGTTTGGAGAGGAAAAAAAAAAAACACTTTACAAGTAGGAAGTAAAATATCAAACGATGATTAAGAGAAAACAAGAAATGTGATATTCATGTTATCTATAATTGTATATAATTTTCAAAGATATTTATATGTGATAGCTTCTAAGCTCTTAGATCCTGCCTTTTGAAGTGCTCTTCTTACGACCAAATCTTCCATTTTAGTTCAAAAATCCACCCAAGAACCTAAATTGTCTATACTAAATACCGTAAACCTACATACATTCATAGATGATCTCATATAATTAGTGGACGATATAATTGTATTCAAGATTCTTAATTCTTATAAAAAAGAAAGAATGCTCTTGTTTGAAGAAATCATACTAACACTAGTTTTTGGCCCGGACGATGTCCCAGGTAATTGCTTGTATTTTTATTATAGTCAGTTTTTTAAAAAATTCAATATTAAATGTTTAATTTGTCAATTTGATTAGACATTAAAGGAAGGAAGCTAAAAATTTATGGTGGGAGTATTTAATGCCCATCAACGGTTACGAAATTTCAACTGTGAATTGAAGTTGAAGTTAAAAAATGAATTTAGGTTTGCTTGTTAATTGACTAAAAAATAATAAAAACAATAATATATTGAGTAGTTAAAACAAAGTTGCGAAATAAGGAGCGTTACGGTCAAATTAGAAAGTTACAATGCATAATTTAAATCATTCTATTAAGAACAATAAGTATTAGGGGCATTGATAGTTTGATGGTAAATTTTGTCTTAAGTTTAGTGGTTCAAATTACAACTCAATCATAAATTTGCATTGAATTCGGATGAATAGGTCTTGACATGTCATTGCTTATGTGCCGCCAAATACATTAAGAGAGGGGTAACACATGTCAATACCATGCTATCCCATTGAGTTTTAATAATATTATAGATTTGAGTATTGAGATAAATCAGCGATATAGGGGAAGTTGTTTAATTAAAAATCAAGGGTTTTAATGTGGAAAAAGAGGGAAAATAAAAGTGGACCTCAATTGAATAGAAAAATAGACAGCAATACTTAAAATATTTGACACATGAAAGGTGGTAATAAACAAAATAAAACCTTTATAAGATAGTGAATACAAGTTAACAAAATGTGGCAAATATCAAATATAGCAATCATATCATCTATAAATATTAATAAAATAACAACCGCTGACATCATCCCATTTTTAAATTATACACATGTCAAGTTCTGGTAGAAAATTTTCCCGCCTAAATCATCATATTCTTATCCTTATTTTACTTTTTTTTAAAAGATCCTTATTTTTACCTTAAATTATTATTATTATAATTTTTTAAAGATAATTATTAAATTATATTATACTCCATATTTTATACAGTATTATGGAATTATGAGTGACTATTTAGCTTCCAAATATAATTACTCCTAGTTAAAGAGTACTAAGTGTTTAGGGTAAAAATTACCCATGACAAATGGACCAATCCGGACCTGCCACGTGTCCACCACGTGGGCCAATCTGCGTCCGCCATTTGTCACCCTAAGAGGTCCAACATGGACTAATCAGGCCACGCCACGTGGCCTCCCATATGCCAAATAGGCAAAATGGCCACCAAGGCCCAAAGTCCGAGAGAAGCCCAATTTGCTCTGGTTAACCTAAACCTAAAATTGGCACGCTTCTCAAGACTATAAATACTTAATTAATCCTTATTAAAGGGGATTCAGCAGAATGACTCTCACCTAGAGAAAACCAAAACACATTGATCACTCCTCCCCTAGAGGAACCAGATCTCCCACCTTTACTTTCCGCATTTATCACTCCTCAAATAAGTACTAACTTGACCGTTGGAGGCGGAGCTCCCACCACAAGGAGTCTCCGTTGTTTTGCATGTACAGGCGCAAGGATACCAGTCCCGGAATTGTAACTCTCCCGCAGGACATTAGAAAACCCCGAAACATTTTGGCGCCGTCTGTGGGGAGAGTACTTTCGAGATGGCATCACAGTCTGTACCGATTCTAAGTGACAAGCGTCCCATGGACGACCCCCTGGTTCAGTCGGACCAGGACACCGACAATGAAATCGATGTCGAGACTCACACGACCCCCGACGGGTCCCTTAGAGCTCGACGTACCCGTCCCACCGCTTGAGCATCAACAGGCGATCGAGGGGTCTACTCCTGTTACCAGGAACGAACTCATGTCTTTCATGAGAGGTTTCAAGGGAGAAATCCAGGAGCTAATCAAAAAGAGAACGCCTGTTCCCGCAAAGGAATAGTCGGCCAGAACGTCCTCCCACCCCGGGAGAACTAGACTTGTTAAGGATCGTGTGGCGACCCCCTAGCCAAAGCCTGGGGTAAGGCAGTCGCCAGTGATCGACTAAACGAAGTATCACTTCCCTTCACAAGGGAAGAGAAAGCCCATCCGTTATGTTCAACCGGACGAGTCAAAGAGAACATTCTCTGATGCTCGAATGTTGCAAGAGCAGAAGAAGAATGACCGACTATCAGAGTCGGCCTCTACGTCTGATTTTCAAGACAGTCTTCACCATACCTCCATGAGGTATTCAAAATCTAACCATGAGAGTCAGACAGGCGGCACTCACCCTCACAAAAGTGTGCTAACACTCACAGGGTACAGCCGACATAGTTCTTTCCCATGCTAAATTAATAGACCAGGCGGCAATATAAGCAGTCGGCCAGGTCTAACCAACCCCGATTAAAGTTACATGCGCCTAGCATGACACTCAATGGGTACAGCCGGTAGAAGACCAGCCTCCGAGCATCCGGCCAGGCGGCCAAGTACTGCATGCGTCATACGAACAAATGTTGGGAGTCGGATGGTCAAGCTTGTAGGCTGGTATAATTATTAAATCATTATTATGATTTTACAAAAAAAAATAAAAAATAAAAGAAGGTATGCAAAGTTAGGCCGCCTAATACCACCTTGTATATGTATACAACGTAGGTAAACATGGAATCAAGCGCTGACTACTTCATATCATTACGTGAGAAGCACATTGCTAGCCACACGTCACTTAGACCAACTAGGTGGCAAAGTCCCATGTGATCATAACAAGGAGGCGGCTCTTCAAGTGACAAGGCACAATACCAAGGGTATATAAACCAAGGCATGTGTCGTATAACATGGAGACCAAACAAGACTTACATGATCATAACCGTCGCCCACTAAACACTCAGCTTTTGAAACGATTCGCAAATGCTAGGTGGAGTAATGGCCCTTATGCTTCTTGAACAAACCGACACCCAGGCTTCGTTCTTCAAAGCTAGTAGGCGGCAATCGGCTCCAACTCAGCCACAAAGCAGTCGGCCTACTAGCTCTAAAATAGCCGGAACTCTTTAATGAGGGCCATAGACGCTAGCATACAATCGACTCTCAAAACGTTGTGAGCATTACACCCTTGAAGCCGAAAATGGATACTTAAGGAACCTCTCTTAGTTCTCAAACTAATCAAAGTATCATCCAACATCACCTTTGCCAAACCTTTCTTGACATAGCACAAGCAATCGGCATCAAGATGGTATTTTTAACCAGCCGGCCAATATATGTTGTTGCTATGGTTGAATATGCGCATGCTACTACTGCTCTTCATACTTGCACTGGTAGTGGAAAGCTTGCCTAAACATGCAAATTTGGTGAACACGATGCCAGCTACTAACACGAATGGTTTCGATGCAAGTGTGGTATGAGCAGGCGGCAAGTGGAAGAACAACAGGTGCTCATATAAAGAAACAAGAACACCCCATGAGCAGTCGGTTGGTGCAACGCATCCGGCCATGCTAACGATGAAATGCAAACAAACGGGAATCTATGCAGCTGCTAAACATTCGGTCCTTCACTATTAAACCTGAACGTTACGGAACAACCATCTCCAACTCAGTCCCAGCTAGAGGCACTGAAACAGCCGGCCTTCACAATGGTTTTGTTAAATGCATCCAGTCGCTAAAAACATCCGGCCTAGTATCAGCCAACTAGGCGGAAGTAATGATTAAATCAGGTGGCCCTTGCAACCAAAGAAATGATTAAACGGCTAGTCATGTAAAAACAAGCGGCACCCTATTGAGGATTGTCAATTGTTTCCGTTGCAATTACCGTGAGGA